CCTTGCCCCCCTTTGCCCCCTGCCCGATCCCTAGCGATATATTCAGAATCCATTCACTTCGATGCATCGGTGACGTAATGAACCGTGAATAACACGCTTCTATATGTAGCCTAAACAGGCTATTTTTAGACTCCCCATCGTTCGGAGAAACTACTGATGTCTCCTGGGATTACCCACCGTGTCACGTGGGTGAGACTTTTGGTTTCCGGTCAGTGACGTGGTCAGTGAAGCAAAGCTAGAGGATAATGAGTACAGTCTGTGCTAGGTCGCTCGCTCACTTACTCACTCACTCACTCACTCACTCACTCACTCACTCACTCACTCACTCACTCACTCACTCACTCACTCACTCACTCACTCACTCATCACTGGGCTCTCACTCACTCACCCACCGACTCACTCACCCACTCACTCACTGACTCACTCACCCACCGACTCACTCACCCACTCACTCACTGACTCACTCACCCACTCACTGACTCACTCACCCCCTCACTCACTGACTCACTCACCCACTCACTGACTCACTCACTCACTCGCTCATTGACTCACTCACGCACTGACTCACTCACGCACTGACTCACTCACTCACTCACTCACTCACTCACTCACTCACTCACTCACTCACTCACTCACTCACTCACTCACAGGGTAAAAATCTAGCTCAGTTGGTATCAAAAGCTACTTCAAAAACATTCCAGGTTCGATTCCTTGCCTAAAAGTTCTTCAACTTAGCTTTCAACACTCTTGGCCCGATCCTATCGGAGACGGACGTTAAATTCGGAGGTCACGCTTCTTAAACAACTAAACAATGTTGAAAGGGGCGTTAAACCCAAGCATTTACTACTTTACTTTTCGCTCACTAATGATCTCATTAACTTCCTCATTCCTTTTCAGTTGTACTGGTTTTCTAAGACAACGTCCAGTGAACGCATCCCCCCTCCCCCGCCCTTAAAAAAAACCAACCCGTTGCTTTGTCTGTCTCCTCTGATCAGTTCCCAACCCTCCCCCTTTCACCAGTTCACCACGCACAACCTTCTCGAACATAATTTTTTCTCTGAAGGCTGGTACAGTACAACGCACTAAGCAGATTAGTTTTTCAGAAGGGCAATAACCTTCAGAACTCCGGGTTGTGAAAAACACATGACAAGAAAAAAGACACCAAAACAACAAATTCACATTACAGGAACAACAAAAACACATTACAAAAACAACAAAAACGCATTACAAAAACAACAAAAACACATTACAGAAACAACAAAACACATTACAGGAACAATAAAAACACATTACAACAAGAAGAGCTAACAAATATTTGGCCAAACCAAAAATTAGAACATCAAATTTTTTTTACGCTTTTTGTCCTGCGCCCTAACTAAGTGCATTACGGCAGCCAGCTATCTATCTCATCCTGCCGTTTTTAGCGCAGATCAAGTAAACGATAGAAAAGCGATGATCTCATTTTAAGCACGCAGCAAATAACTCATAATTCTCCCCCTCCCCCCCGCCCCTCTCCCCTTTTTTCCCCTTACCCAAAACCTCTCATTCATTTCCCACTCCCGTCTACCCCGCCCTACTCCCTCACCGCCCCAATTCCAAACCTTAAGCCTCGTGCACATCGAAAACGTTTCCATTCGCCGTACGGCTGTCAGTGTACAAATGAGGTAGATTTCGACACGTTCGTCTCTCTCCTCCGCCAGGTGACGTCATACTTCATAGCCGTGCGATGATTGGAAATTGTCCACGGTGTGCGCGGAACTTTAGACTTTAGACAATAATTATCTGCATTAACTCATACACTCGTCTGGTGTAAAACGAGAGTGCACATCACTTCTTTTCCTCCCTGAAACACCACACCATCTGTCTCCCCCCACCCCACCCCACCCCTCCCTTCCACTCCAAATCCATCTCTCCCTACACAGCATGTCTCTACCCCTACCCCCACCTCACCATAATCTCTTTCCTTGCTATCTATCACATTAATCCACACGCGCACTTAACATAAAAGTGATAAAGGGGGTACACTGGTATTGAGGAGCATCTATCAATTCAGAACCGGGCATGTAAACTGAAGTTTTCCACGCTCTAAAAGGGCTTTTTTTTCTTTTTCGATATAAATCTAGTACTTAACGTATTATATTACACAAATATGGCAATCTAATATTGTGCAAGTGAAAGGGGACTTCTTTTCAGCCCCATAACTCATACATCGAAAAATGATTAATGAATATCTCGCTTCCGTGTTATATTTCATATCATTTCTTCTCTTCCACACAACCCCCCCCCC